AAATTCAACTCAGAATGAGTTCCAGTAACTTGTTTTTGAAAGTGCCTCAGTTCCTTCCCCCGTCTTTAGTTTTAAAAAGAGCCCTTTTTCCATTTTAGTCCATAATCAAAATTAAAGCTGCTATCTTTACAATATATAGTGAGGGTGAAAAAGAATGTATGTTTATTATAGAACCTTTCACTACCCGAGAAATCCAAGCACTTTATGGCCATTGACTTACATTAGAAGAGTAGTTACTGTTGAAATGTAGGTAAATACGGGAACCATGACAGGCTTTCTGATGAAGGAAGGTATCACAAACAACAATGTGACAATAATGATCAAGTAATAATGACCTCAAACTCTGGTTGATTATTGGCCAGGATACCTGGGAGAACTCCTCTGCCCTTCTTTGAACAACTGTTTGGGATTGATTACGCTACCTGAGTGTTATGAAGTGTCACCATAAATTTTATTCCTCAGTCTTTGGATTAGAATTCAAACCCACTGTACTAATTGATATTGTCACCCCCAGTTGTTGTGATTTTCATTTAATACTGTCCCCTACCCAGAAGTGTGCTCTGCTGCTTTGATTACAGTTATAGTTCAGTGTGAGTCCTGACCCACAACAATGTGTTTGACTCTTAACTACCCTGTAAAATGGCCAAGCAAGCCAATCAGTAGTGTCAAAACTGTTACAAAGTCTAAAGCAAGGAATGAAACTGGATGGACCACTTAGCTTCGACCTAGATGCTGGAAACAACAACATACATAGCATTGTTGACCTTGCACCGTTGTCCTGAAGTAACATTTGAAGACTTGTGCCAAATTTGGGGAGCTATCCCACAAACTGATCAAACAACATTCTGACATTATCAGCAAGTCATACATCCACAATTATCACTCTTTCAGATATCATCATCATCATCATCACTATATAGCATGTCCTACCAGCAGAATATATCCAGCAGAGATGAGGCACGTGGTTTAGTGTTGAGGGAGTTGCCCCAGGAGGCCTCAACATTGACTCCAGACTCCTGGTTTAAAGAATAAGCACTCTTCTATGATGAGTGCTACATGGAGGAAAAGCTGAAGGAGTCAAGATCACAGAATGTACCCTGGGGACTTCAATGTCCATGACTAGAAAGCACCACTACTGACTGAGCTGGCCATGTTTTTGAGGATGTGGCAGATGATGAGGGAACCAAGATCCACATGGACTTAACCTCACCATCTACCTGATACATCTATCCATGGCAGCATTGATAAGACTGAATATCATAATCATTGTGAAGGTCAAGTACTTCACTTTAAGGATACCCTCCATCATTATTGGGACATGGTGCTGAATTGGGAAGATGTAGATCAGATGTAGCAACTTGACTGAGAATCCATGAGGCACAGCAGCAGAATTGTTTTAACCACAAACTGTAATGTCATAGCTTAGCACATCCCCCACTCTACAGTGACCCATCAAGCCTGAAAATCAGCAGTGGTTTAATCTAGAGTGCAAGAGGGCATACCTAATATGTGGTGCCTGTCAGTCTACTTTCGATCATCAATAAAGTGATAGAATGGGGCATTGACAATACATTTGAATAACACTTGTTCAACAATAACCTTTTCACTGATGCTAAGTTCTAAGGGCTGCTCAGTGGCTGGCCTTGTTAGAATCTTGGTTCAAGAATGGGCAAAAATGTTGAGTTGCCAATGACTACCTTTTACATCAAGGCAGCCTTATTTGGGCTAATAAGTTGCTCCTCAACTCCCTGATCTTTCAAAAATTTGTCTCCCTCCTTTAAATTCTTTCAGTGATCTACCTTTCATAATTCTGAGGTAGAGAGATCCTCATTCACTACCCTGTTCCATTTAAATAATAGTCTGCCTTTTGATTCTTCTCATCAAAGTGCATGACCTCGTAGTTAACTGCATTAAATGCCATCTACCAAGTTTACGTCCACAGACTCAACCTACCTACGTCGCCTTGCAGATTCCTTATGTTCTTATCACAAGATATCCTTCCACCTATTTTTGCACCATCAGCAAATTTAGATGCAGTACACTCTGCTGTCTCCTTCAATTATTTATCATCTATATAAACGACTTGAGGTACCAGGACTGAACGTTGTGGCACACAGTAGTTATGTCTTTCCAACCTGAAAAATCTGTATTATTCTGATCTTGCTAGTATATTGTCACTAATATTGTGAGCTCCCATCGTATGCCCTTTTTTATGTGGCATTTTCCCAATGACTGTTATTAGGCTAACTGCCCTATAGGTTGCTGTTTCCATTCCTTCTTGAATAGGGGTGTCACATAGTGGTTTTTTTCAATTGCTGGAAGCCTCTAGGAATCCAGTATGTAGTGGAATATTCTGAACAATTCCTTCACTTTTTCTACAGCCATTTCTTTTAAAACTCTTGGATGCAGACTGTCAGGTCTTGGTAACTTATCTGCCTTTAGTGACATTAGTTTGTCAAACACTGTCACTTGTAATCAAGAATGTTACAAGATTTTTCCGCCCATTAGTACCTTGCTTATCTGCTACCTTTGGTATATTTGTAGTAGCATCTGTCATGACAAGTGATGCAAAATGTGTTTAAATTTTACGCCATTTCCCTGTTTCCTCCTTATTAATTCCCTAATTGTAAATAGCTGGGTCCAAGGACCAAACTCCGTAGCACCCCACTAGTTACTACTTGCCATCCAGGAAAAAACCCATTTATCCTGACGCTCTGTCTTCTGTCCATCAGCCAGCCACCTATCTAAGCTAATAAATTACCTGTAATTCCATATGATCCAACCTTACAATTAACCTTTTGTTTGGCACCTTATCAAACACTTTGGAAGTACAGCTGTATTCCATCTACAAGATCTCCATTATCCACTTTGTTTGTTACATCTTCGAAGAACTCTAGCAAATTAGTCAAACATGATTTGCCCTTCATAAAACCATGCTGACTTTGATGGATAGAGTTTTGACTTTCCAAATGTCCTGATATTGCTTCCTTGATAATTGATTCCAACAGATGTTAAACTAACTGGTCTGTAATTTGCTCCCTCCCTTTTTGAATAAGGGCGTTAAATTAGCATTTTTCCAATCCACTGGAACTTTTCCGGTGTCCAGGGAATTGTGGAATATTGTAACCAATGGATCCACTATCTCTGCCGCCACTTCAATACCCTAGGATGTAGGCCATCAGGGCCAGGGACTTGTCTGCCCTCAATCATAATAGTTTGCTGAGTACCTTTTCCCTATCAATGTTGATTGTTCTAAGTTCTACCCTTTCTATTGCTTCTGACTTGCCCGTTCCACTAGGAATGGTCACCTATACCACCTTTGTTCATCCTCCTGGAAGTGTGTGTTTGTGTCTGTGTGTTTGTTTGCTGGGGATATTTGGAAAGAGAAGCATTTATACTTCTATATTCATGATTGTATGCTAACCAACAACTGACTCCTTTTAAATAGGCTTTGTTTTGGTAAACTGCTAATTGTGTTTATTAAGAAATCTGGTTGACAAATCTTTCCATTTAAACTGATGTAAATACCATACATAATTTATCATCTTAGGAACTGAAAGTATTTTTATTTCATGTTTTTACCTATGGAGTAGTGGGACTGAAGTGGTGATGCAGTCTTCCAAACTCGGTTGTAATAAAATATTTTGGCTTTGGGGTGAGCAGAGCACTGATTAATCAGAATAATACCAGCGTTTTAATGATTAAATTATGAAGACAGGTTTCAAAATTAGCTTGATTCCAGGAAATTTAGGTAATCAGATTGAGATGTTTAAAATGTTAAAGGATCCAGTTTGGTTAAGTATAATCAAACAATTTCACCATGTAAGTAATCAAGGACAAAGGGTCATGATCTTAAAGTTTACGATATTGAGGAATGAATCAAGAGGTACTTGTTAATGTAGTGGATAATAACATGAAATAGTTGATGTGGAAGGCTATGGATGTGACAACAATTGCAGCTTTCAAAGCTGAAATTCATTGTGTTAGGTTATCAAAGGATATAGCGCGTAGTTGGATAAATGCATTTTCAGGTTTGAATCAGTCACAATCTCATTGAATGGTGGAATGTGAGAGATTGACCTACTCCTGTCCCTTGTGTTTGCTCTGTGTAAAAGTTTTGCACATGAAAACAACTTTTTCTGTGCTTCTGTTCAAAACAGGGAAAAGCCGTGCTCCTTTGTGACAAGCAGACGGATGGAAGTTTCCTTATACATCACTTCCTTTCTTTTTATCTTAAGGGTAAGTGGCATCGCATTTTTAGGGAGCTAGTGTTGAGTTGGTGTGTATTGTAGTGCTGCACCTTAACCTGCAGTCATGAGTGCATTGCACAACTTGTTTTCAGGTCATACTGTTGTCTTCAACAAAGATTCAACTTTCACAGTGTTTGGCATTAATGTCCTACACGTGTGAGATTAGATATTTGACAAACTGGGCTGTGGAAGGGTATCGGATTTTGTGGTCCATAAACATTCTTGTAAGTATCTCATACACACAGTATTCTCTGGTCATTTAAATTCTTCTTTAACCCTTCACTTCAATTCCTTATAAAAGAACCATTTGGAGTTCATGCACTTTATGCCCAGGAATATTATGTATAAATTTGGCTTGTTGAATGAGATTGGCACATGTAATTTGGTTTTTGCATTGCAGAGAAGATGCATGCAAATTGTTGAGTAAGTTAAACCTTTATTTAACCTATGATTGAAAACAGTTATTAGTGAGAGAGTTGTACGTCATGGAAAGAAGCCCATCGTGTGAATACTGGTCATCAATCACCAATCTACTCTAGTCCACATTCCAGCATTTAGCCTGTAGTCATGTATGCTATGGCACTTCAAGTGATGATCAAATTCTTCCTAAACGTGATGGTTCATTCCTTTGCCACCCTTACAGGCAGTGAGTTCTAGATACCCACCACACTCTCTGTGATAAAAATACTTCCTTAAATCTCCTGTAAACCTCCTAGTTATTGACTCCTCATCATTTTGTAGACTTCAGTTGGAATCCCCCTCAGCTTCCTATGGTCTAAGTAAAACAATCCCAGCCCATCTCATTCTCTCTTCATAGCTAAAACACACCAGCCCAGACAACAAAAATAGAAATTGCTGGAAAAACTCAGCAGGTCTGACAGCATCTGTGGCGAGAAAGCAGAGTTAACGTTTCGGGTCCAGTAACCCTTCAGAACTGAATCTGAAACATTAACTCTGCTTTCTGTCCACAGATGCTGTCAGACCTGCTGAGTTTTTCCAGCAATTTCTGTTTTTATTTGATTTCCAGCATTTGCAATTTTTTTTTTTTTTTTTTTTTTTTTTTGTTTAGTATTTAGCCCAGGCAACTGTCTGGTCAATCTCCTGTGCACCCTTTCTAGAGCAATCACACTTTTTTCGAAGTGTGGTGCTCGGAACTGCACATATTATTCCAGCTATTGCCTACCTAATTTCTTCAGCAGCTCTATCATAGCCTTTTTGCTCTTGAATTCAGTGCCTCAACTAAGAAAAGCAGGTAACCCATATGTCATCTTATCCACTTGTCCTGTTACTTTCAAGGATCTGTAGACATAGACACCAAAGTGTCCCTGATCCTCTGTAGTTCCTAGGTTCTACCATTTATGGTGTAACCTTTGCCTTATTTCTTCTCCTAAAATATATCACCTTAAGTTTTTTCCAGACTAAATTCTATTTTATCTCTTAAACCAAGCAGCATACGTTTTCCTCAAGCATACTGAAGTCCAATTTTTAACATTCCTCGCAACAAATTCTCTTTAGGGTTAAATTGGATTTATTGCTTGTTCATGTTGGGGGATTACTGCTGCAACACCCAGACACAAGCATACAAGGAAGAAAAAAGGAAAAGATAACAAAAGCCAAAAATATGGATATTATTATGAATGTTATAGTTCAGAAAGCTGGTGTTTAGTGACGCTTCACTTTTGTTGGAACTCCAATTCAGTTATGTTAGCCAAGGCAGGAGTTCCAGAATTTCTTCTAACGTTGAAAATGCAGCAGTATAACGTAGATGTATTGAGGCTTAGTCCACTTTTTCAATCAAAGCAAGGCTTCTTTTAGAGATAACAGTGTGGAGCTGGAGGAGCACGGCAGGCCAGGCAGCATCAGAGGAGTAGGAAAATTGTCATTTCCGGTTGGTAACCTTCTTCAGAGTTTCCTGCTCTTCTGATGCTGCTTGGCCTGCTGTGCTCCTCCAGCTCCACACTGTGTTATCTCTGACTCCAGCATCTCTGACTCTGGCAGTTCTTACAATCTCCTAAGGTTTCTTTTAGAACTAGGTTTTAAGAAGCCTTATTTGGACTTGAATAAAAGTGACATCATGTAGATGCTTTAAAACTCAAACAGAATAACAACTCAGAATATCTGCATTCCTGAAGAAGAGTCCTTCCAGGCTCTAAACCTTAACTCTGTTTCTTGCTTTTTCTCCACAGATGCTGACAGACCTTCTGAGTTTCTCCAGCATTGTGTTTGTTACTTGGGCCTGAGGTTGGCTTAGTGGCCTGGAGTCTGGCGGTTTTGTTATGTTCTTATGGATTTAACTCATTTCGATGGTAAAAAGCAGACTGAGGCAAAGGCAGTCCAGAATTTACAACTAAACCTTGAGACCAGAGGAGTATTGGTCGTGTGGCGTGGTTCCAAGATGAATTGACTTCATTTTGTTTCTATCCCTGTGGTGGAGAATCCATTGTCCAGTTTAGGGTGTGGATGAGGATATCTCAGCATCTCTGCATGTATGTTGAGATTTGATGATTCTCCCTTCATTATCAGTTCATTCTTTGAGATGGCATATCTGTTGTCTTGCAATTTCTATTTTACTAGATGAGAAATTATACTAGGGATGATCTATTTATCTTTGTTCTTGTAATTACTGCTAGATGTTTTTCTATAGCTGTTGGCAACTTGGAAATCAGGTCACCTGTAGCAGCCATTTGAATCAAGCAAAATTCATTTCAAAATTAAATAAGTATAAATTTTAAAACAAATTGATCTCTTGTGTGTCTTTGTGACATGATACCCCCTTTAAATTTCCAAGTATCTCAAGTAAAAAATAACCAGCAATGTGAGTTAGTATTTCAATGTAAGTAAATTGTTAGTTTATTACACAAATAACTTTCAGCAATAATTAAGTTTAAAAAGTGAAGAAGTTGTTTGCTAAAATACAAGAACAAAGATCTAAAGTAAGGAAGAATAAAAATTCAATATAAAAATGTGATTAGTTTATGCTATCATTGAAGACCAGTCTTGCTTGATGCTTCCCTTTCTGAAGTGAGGGAGGTGAAAATTTTGAATCAGATTTAGCAGTTGTGACGACTTCTGAGCCCTAGTTGTTAGAGGTTGTTTTGAGAGATGGAGTAAGCAGAACTCCTCGGAATGAGTGACAACATCTCCTTTTGTCCCTTTCTTTCAGCACTCTGCAGGTTTTGGCTCTTGGTGGTCTTGTTCAGTTTAGCAGTCCTGGCTTCCTCCCTATTTCCTCCCTATTTCATCCTGTTAGTGCTCTGCTTACCCTCCTGAAATGTCTGCACACAATCATGGATCACAGCCAGACTATTATATATTTCAAAGCTCACTAATGGCAACTATCATAAATTGTTGCATCGTGCTTCGAAAGTAGATATTGGGTTAACTCAATCTGAAATACAGGTCTATCCTTTTTTTTATATAGTTAATGTAGTTAACCTTTTAACTGTACCAGCCATTAGCTTAGGCTGTTTAACTATCAAACTGTTTACTGAATTTCAAAAGATCTTTTGTGATTTTGTCTTGATGGAGCCCACTATACATTTGTGGCAGCTATATTCTTCCAGTTCCGTGTGCTTTAACAGGAGTATGCAGGTATTTTGTGTAACTTTTATATCTAAAGTATGACCAATTGGCATTCTGGCTGGTACAGCGTAATTTTATTCAGGCTATGTCTTTCAGTGGAATTATTGGAATCCAGTCAAAAACTGAGGATGATATGTAGCGTGAACAGTTCCTGAGAGAGCACTTTTGAAATTACAAAATAAAAACCAGTTTGAGTTATGTATATAGCTTGTTCGGAAGTATCTAGTCTAATATTTATTTTTTTCCACAGGAGGTTGTAAGGTGTGCTTTCTTGGCCTGGTCCAGTCTTTTAATCATTACAGTCTTGTTGCCCAAAAGCTAGTAAGTATGGAAATAGCTGGGCTTGCTGTATGAGGGTAGTGTATTTTTTTTTTTAAATTGTGACTGAGTCATTTCTGGTTCTGTAAATTTCCAACATTATACATTGGTGTTCTAAGTTCCCTCCTATCAATTTAGCAATACCTTGTGGCTAAAAAGATTCACTTCATTGATTCTGAACTATGGTTGCTTCGGTCATCTGTAACCCTTCCATGATGAGTCACTATTGACATTATTATAGCCCCAGCTGTTTTGTTTTGTTTTGTTTTTAGTTAATGAAGTGCTGTTTCATTGAAACACTAGCATACTGTGCTGCAGATTTGAGTTTAACAATCAAATAGAAATTTAGTTTGCAAAACAAATAAAAACAAAATAAAATAAATCAAGGTGTTTACTCATAACACAATTTAGAATACTGTAAAAATACAGTTCCATTTATTCCAACATAATCACTTTACAGTACCCAAATACTCGGGGTAAATTAATTCCCTTCTCTATCACACCTATGGGTTTGACTTAACTGCTCCTTTCAATTCCTGCCCTCAAGTTTGATAGCTTCTTCTGAAGTATGCTCTCTCAACTGTGTGCTAAGATTTTCTCAGCTTTGAATAGCCCCTTCAAGGTTTGAACTAAACAATCTGGTCTGGAACTTCCAAACTAAAATACTTAGTCTGTCGTATACCATTCCCTGAAATAGCTTCCTTCTTATACATCTAACTTTAACCAAGTTGTCAATGAGTTGAATGCAAAACCTTTCCAAACTGTGTTTTTCCCTAAGCAAAGAGAAAGTTCCCAATCCTTCTAAACTAAAAACAAGCCAATGCTCCTCAATGTTTACTTTGTCTGCTTGTAAAACTCTCCTCGGGTAAATATTTTCCCATGATCATTCCAGGACTCCCTCTTTCATACTGGTTTACACAAAATGATTGCAGAAATACTGTCAAATTAATCATTAACTACCCTCATACTCGGATCATAACAGACATGCCACTGTTTCAAAATCCAAACTCTAAACTCTGAAATAAATTATATTAAAAGTAGATATAAATCACAACAGACTATCAACACTTGTTTGGAATTCTTTGACTTCACATTTCAATAACGTGCAAGAAGCTTATGGAATTCTGTCGCTAAGGTCAGTTGATCAAATTCCTCTGATAATCTAAACCTTCCAAGATATTGGTGCTTATGAAATTCTGGCCTTTTGAGCACTAATCGCTTCACTAGTAGTTGATGCATCTTCTTATTCTAAGCTGTGGAATTTTCTCTCTAATCCACTCCACCTCTTCGCCCTTGAGACACTGTGTAAAGCCTACCTTGGACCAAGCTTTTGGTCATCTGACCTAACAATTGTTTATACAACTTGGGGTCACATTTTGTTTTTCCACGTAAAGTATCAAGTTTCTGTAAAATAGCTTGGGATATTTCATTCTAAGTGTCCACAATATTTTGTTGCAGGAGTGTGGACTCGGGGCACTGAAGATACTCTGGTTGAACTGTGCCCAATGTTGTCTTTCTCGAATTTTCCATAATTAATTGTATCTTGTGTTACAGGGTGTTCACCTACCTGCAGCCAGACAAAAAGGGCAACTGGTGTTTCTGGAAGGGCTCCGGTCTTCCCTTGATGCCATACTTGCTGATGAACAGAACAGTAGGCCACCAACACTATCCCCTTTCCAGTTTCTAAGGTAGATACCTTCAGGTGCCTGTAAGGGGCCTGAGTAATGTTCTAAATGAGGCAACCTATGTTCTGTTTCAGGGTGCTATCGAAACTGGACTGCTACTCCCTTTCTTCTAGCTTCCATTTCTAACAAATTGGAAATGCATTGCAGGGGGTATTTTTTTTTTTGATTTCCAGCAAACCTTCAATGTATCTGGTGAATAATTATCTTCGTAAAGGGAAACTTCTCCTCCTTTATCCAATTTCATCTAAACTAACTGAAATCACTTACCAACTTTGTTGACTTTAAATACCCTCTAAATTGCACCTTACACAACAATTGCAGCAAAGCCATTTCATCTCTTGGAAAACAACAAAAGAGAAACAGGAAATCATAGAATCCCTACAATGTGGAACCAGGCCATTTGGCCCATCAAGTCCACACCAACCCTATGAAGAGTGTCCCACCCAGAACCATCCTATTCTTGTATTTCCCATGGCCCATCCACCTAGCCTGAACATCCCAGGACTTTATGGGTAATTTAGCTTGGCCAGTCCACCTAACCCCCACATCTTTGGACTGTGGGAGGAAACTGGAGCAACCAGAGGAAACCCACACAAACACAAGGAGAACGTGCAAACTTCACACTGTCACCCATGGGTGGAATCTAACCTGGGTCCCTGGCACTGAGGCAGCAGTGCTTGCCATTGTGCCACCTGAAGTGTCAGCCTTGATAGCAGTGTTCTCACTTGAACAGTGAATTTAAAAAAATGTTCATGCTCAGAGTATATACAGACTTAAATGGCTGGCTGGCTGACTGTCAATCAGGTCTCTTAGTGAGATCATAAGATATGGGAGCACAATTAGGCCATTCGATAATGGCTGATATGTTTCTCAATCCCATTCTGCTGCCTTCATCCTGTAACTCTTGATCACCTTATCAAGGGGCCATTTCCTTTAAATAAATGCTAATAATTCTCATGACCTGACAACTGTTGAAGTTAAATAGAAATCTATTTTATTCATTTACATGATATGGGAGTGCATAACAGGGGGAGGTAATGACCTTGTGGTATTATTGCTGGACTGTTAACCCAGTTAATGATCTGGGGAGATGGTTCAAATCCCGCTACAGCAGGATTCAATTTAAAAAAAAATGGAATTAAGAGTCTAGTGACGACCATGAATCCAATGTTGATTGTCAGAAAAATCCATCTGGTTCACTGATGTCCTTTAGGGAAGCTAACTGCCTTCCCTACCTGGTTTGGCCTATGTGTGACTCCAGATCCACAGAAATATGGTTTACTCTTAACTATCTTCTGGCCAATTAGGGATGGGCATTAAATACTGCCTAGCCAGCGATGCTATCATCCTGTGAATGAATAAAAAGACGTGAGCACTTATTGCACTTTGGAAGTCTTGAACCAGTGCAGTCTGTGGAATTTCTATCCAGGGCTCTGTTAGAACATTGTGGAGAAGGAAAGATAGCAAGTCAGATTCCTAACTTTGGGCCATAAATTGGCTCCAATGGTTGGGTCAGTCATGATGTGGTATGAAGTGGGGTTGGGCACGTGTCATGCTAAATGAGGCACCGTCCTCTAGGGGGTGGCTACTCCAGGCATGCCTCGACCAAAGCCTAGTAGCTGACTGAGAGCTGTTGTGCACTACTGTTGAATTGAAACATGTCATGAAGGCCCTGTTCAGTGTCTTGTTTTAGCAGTTTTAATTGCCTACAGGTATCAAACGAGGTTACCATGAAGGTTCTGCCTTTGTAACCTCACCCCTCACCTGAGGCGTGCTGACCTTTATGTTAAACTTTATGCTGACCACCAGCCGACCATCTCAGAGAGCAGCCATAGGTCCTCTGGCACTGTGGTGACTTTACCTTTTCTAAATATCAGCTCTTTGTACTTTATTTTGTCACTGAATTTAAATATTCATGCTGGTATGATGGGATTTAAACTCTCCGTATGCCTGAATTAGACATTCCAGCCTCTGCACCACTACGTCAGTGACAATGTAATGGTGTTATTGTACCCAGAGAATAGCTATATTAATGATTTGTAAATTTAAAATATATATTTAGATGGTAGGAGTTTTTTCATTGAGCAATGGAGGCAAAATATTCAGACTGCAGCTAGATACTGTTGTACGGGATGAGGATAGATAGCGTTTCAACAGACTTGTGCAGTGTTGTATAGATAATCGAAAGAAGCTGTCTGATCATTGACTTCAGTTTCTAGCATTGGAATTGTAATTCAGAGATGCATTAATTTGTTTATTCTGGTGAATGGAAATCCAATGTTTTGGCTGCTCTAAGTCTAACAGTATTGAGTGTTGATTTGCTGGGCAGCTACTTTTTGTGATTCCCACTGAAACCTGTAGGTAATGGTATCTAATCATTTGGTGTAAGTGTATTGGCTTTGTCCCAACAGCGATTGCTTGATAAATAGCTGAATTGGCAAAGAGAGGGTGATGCTACTTGAATAAATCAAAAGCAAAGTTCAGTCGAAAGTCTGTGGTTCTGCTTCAGAATTATGGAAGGTCAGAGTCATAGCTCAGAAGAGGCCTTTTAGCCCGTTGAGTCTATGCCAACCCATGTACAATAATCCCACTTTGCAGCACTTGGCCCATTGACTTGAATGTTATTACAGTTCACATGTTCGTCCATGTACTACTTAAAAGTTGTGAAGTTTCCCTTCATCTTCTGTGTCTGCTAATGGCAGGTTCCTGGTTTTAAAATTAATATTCAATTTCATTCATCTTTCCAGTAACTGATAGCTATGACACCCTGTTTTCTGAAGTTGCATAAGGCCCAGAAGCAAACTCTAAGGCAAACTCAAAAAACATTCCATATGGAGTAAAACCTAATTTTTAGATCTCCTATGTTTGTCATGGATCAAACTCCAGTTTACATCGAGGCAAGATCTGGTAACTCAGTTTCATGACACAGTTTTGCTGTGCAACTTGAAGAATTTCCAGTTAGGTGCACACCTCTTTGGGAAAGTGCAAGTTGGGAGATAAAGAAAACAACATTCTTTCCAGTAATAAGCAGCACCATTTAGCAGCAATTAAGGTGAAATGCAAGATGTCAGTGCACTGATGCCAAGGAAACACTGCTCCATATGGTCAAAGAACTATAGTCTTGAAGTAAATTGAAGCCATGTGACCCCAACCAACCTAACCTATCCTTTCCCCATTCAGTTGATAGTAATAGCCTTTTTTTTATTTTGCAAAGGTGAAATTTCTTTCAAAGAATGAGAAGGACCTCACCTACTTGTATATGTACATACAGCACAACAACATTGTAAAATAAAAAGATAATATATTGCAAACTTTTGGACAGCCATAAGAAAACCTAGCATGTGACAGTTTAGGCTGTCCTGAAATACTTCTGATTACCATAAATAAATATTAGATATTGAAATATCCTTTTAAAGTCATCTCCAAACTTTCAGCTGAAACACTTTTAAACAAGCCTGTACAGTGCTGGAGAGAGAAAAGAAAAATCTTATCCACTGAATCTTAGCTGAATTTTCTGAGTTTGCAGGATGATTCACAGGCTAAGATGTTCATCACAGGGTGTGGGGTGGAAATGCATCATTACTGATCTGTGGACCAATCCATGTAGCTTCTAAAATTAAAACTCTACGATGACAAGGAATGATGAGATTGAGTTGTGCTGTGGAAACACTTCTCAAAGTTAATGTATGCATTGGCTAGTTTAGTTAGTGAGTTCCCCAATGATATCTACTAATTGTGGACTTTTACCTCAGGAGATAAGGGATAAGTTAGAATTCACTTCTTTCCCTTTTCCACTCTACTTTTTCCTCACCTCATTCATGTTCACAGCTCCATGATAGATAAACTTGCAACTGAATGCTTGTCTCTTTATCTGTGACAGCATAATTGGCCTTGATTTAGCAGCTGTGCGAAAACTGTTATTTTTTTTTGAAACATTGCCGTGGAGAGCAGCGGTCAATGTTCAAGTCTGTGCCACAGCCTTGCCCTACTGACTACGTAGTCAGTGCCCTTGAAAGCGTGAGGCTTATAGACATGAGTTAGAGACTGACATAATAGTTAAAATGTATCTGCTGTAGCACAATGGTATGAAGAATACTTACAAGGCAGTAGAAATACATTTGTTTTTTATAATCTGTTTTGCTACTTCATAAAATAAAAAAAAAAATTGCATTTATGGTCAACTCTTTTGATATTTCACAACATTTTACAGCCAGTTATCTATTTTTGAAGTATGATCACTGTTCGTTGGTTGGAAATGAGGGTAAATGTGAACTTATCCTCTTGGGAGAATTGAGAAACAGACTATTTAAACTGTGGTGCAGGGGGATCTGGGTCTAATGGTAAATGATTCAAGCAAGTTAGATACAAAAGTACAACTAGGGTGGGAGAGTTCAAAACTAGGAACCATAATTTTAAGGTGAGAGGAGAAGGATTTAAAAGGGACCGAGGGGCAACTTTTTCAGAGTGTGGTTTGTATTTGGAATGAACTACTTGAGGAAGTGGTCCATAAAGATACAGTTAGAACATTTAAAAGACATGGATAGGTAAGGTTTAGGGTGATATGGGCCAAATGCAGTCAAGTTGGATTAGTTTAGTTTGGGAAACTTGTTCGGTATGAGCGAGTTGGACTGCATTTATATAGCGAGTCTAGTCGGTTTCTGGTTGTCAATCCCAGGGATGTTCTTACTGGTGGATTCAGTGATAGTAATATCATTGAATGTCAAGTGGGGGTGCCTAGATTGTCTTTTATTGGAAGTGATATTACTTGGCATTTGTTTGGCACAAATGTTACCTGTCACTTTTCAGCCCAAACCTGAACATTGACCAGGTCTCACTGTATTTGGATATGGACTGCTTCAGTATCTGTGGAGTTGTGAATGGTGCTGAACATAGTGCAGTCATCAGTGAACATCCCTACTTCTGCAGCGATGTCCTGGAGTTGAGATGACTGATCTCAAATAACCACAACCATTTTCCTGTGTGCCAGATATGACTCCAACTAACAAGAGCGTACTTCATCCTGATTCACATTGATTTCAGTTTTGCCAGGGCTCCTTGATGTCACACTTGGTCAAATGTGGCCTTCATGTAAAGGGCAATCACTGTTGCTTCACCTCTGGAATTCAGCCCTTTTTGTCCATATTTGAACTAAAGCTGTAATGAGGTCAGGGGCTGACTGGCCCTTGCGGACGCAAACTGGGCAAAATTGAGTAGATTATTGCTGAGCAGGTGCTGCTTGACACCTTTTGTCATTTTCCTGATGATTGAGAGTAGACTGATGCTTACTGATGGCTTCAGTAATTTGCTGGGCTAGATTTGTCCTGCTTTTTCTGTACAGGACATATTTAATCCCAATTTCTCTCATTGTTGGGAGGTTAGTGTTGTAGCTGTACTGGAAGAGCTTGGCTATGAGTGTAGCAAATTCTGGAGCACAAGTCTTCAGTGCTATTGCTGGAATATTGTCAAGGCCTATAACCTTGGCAGTATCTATTGCCTTCAACTCTTTCTTAATATCTTGGTGGAGTGAAGTGAATTGGCTGAAGACTGGCATATGTGGTGCTGGGGACTACTGGAGGAGATAAAGATGGATCATCCACTCAGCACATCTCCCTGAAGGTTTTTGTGAATGCTTCAGCTGTATCTTTTGCTAGACTTTTCCATTGTTAAAGATAGGGATATTTGTGGAGTCCCTCCATTGAGTTGTTTGGTTGTCCACAATCATTCAGAACTGGACGTGGCAGGTTGCAGAGCTCAGATCTGATCTGCTGGTTGTTGGACACTTAGCTCTACCTGTTATCCTGTTTGGCACATAAGTAGTTTACTACTTTCATAAGTTTGACACATTATTTTTGTAAATACCTGATGCTGCTCCTAACATGCCCTCCTGCAGTCTTCATTAATTTGCAGTTGAGCTCCAGGCTTGATGGTAATAGTAGAGTGGTGGATATGCCAGCCATGCAAATTGTGCTAGAGTACAGTTCTGCTGCTGTTGATGGTTCACAGTGCCTCATGGATGAACAGTCTTGTTGCTAGGTCTGTTCAAAGTCTGTTCCATATAACATGGTGATAATACCTTGCATCGTATTGTGTGGCACGGTCAATGTGAAGGTGGGCCTTTGTCTCCACAAAGGTTGTGCAATGGTTGCTCTTACTGATTCTGTCACGGACGTGTATCTGCGGCAGGCAGATTGTTGAAGATAATGTCAAATGTATATTTCCCTCTTGTTGGTTCCCTCACCACATGCCATTTATGCAGTCTAGCAGCTACGTCCTTTAGGACTCAACCAGTTCAATCAGTAGTGCTGCTGTCAAGCCAGTCTTGGTGGAAAATGAAATCTCCCACCCGCAGTACATTGTGCACCTTGCTGCTTCCTCCCCACTGTTCAACATGGCACAGAGCTATCAGCCAAGTGAGGACAGTATGCAGTAATCGGCAAGAGGTTTCCATGCCCGTGTTTGACCTGATGCCGTGAGCCTTCGTGGTGTCCTGATTCAATGCTGAGGACTCTCAGGGCAACTCCCTCTTGACTGTATACCACTGTTCTGTCACGTATGTTGGACCTGTCCTGCCAGTGGGACAGAACATACCTGGAGATGCTGATGGTTTCTGGGACATTGTAAGATGTGTTTCTGAGTATGGCTGTACTTGACTAGTTTGAAAGTTCAATTTTGATACTAGCCCTCAGAGGTTAGTATGCAGGACTTCGCAGGATTAAGAGGCTATCTTATTTTGCTGTTGTTGATTTCAATGGCAGGCAGTTTATCTGGTTCCATTTGTCTTTTGAAACTTGTTACAACTAAGTGCCTTGCTGTGCCTCACCATATTTCTGTGGATCTGGAATCATTTAAAGGCTGGACCAGGTAATGATGGCAGATTTCCTTCCCTAAGGGACATTAATGAACCAGATTGGGTTTCCTGACAATTGATAATGGTTTACTCTTCATCATAAGACTCTTAATTCCAGGTACTTATTGAATTCAAATTCTAGGATTTGAACCTGGGTCCCCAGAGAATTATCTAAGTTGCCGAATTAATGGTCTAGTGAGAATACCACTAGGCCATTGCCTCTGTAATGCTGTTGCCAGATAAGTTATTTATCATGTTTGGTTGAGGAATAAATGTTGATCAAATAATTAAAAATCCACCATTGATTGCAGGATGAAGTTTCAGATTGCCGTTTAATTGAATATTTTATCTTGCAGCACACCTGATGCGAGTCTTCAGAGCCTCTATGAATTTGTTCGTCTCTCACTATCAGGTACCAGCGAAAGTACTTGGAAATTTCCAGTACTGATAATAGATGACCTCAGTGTCTTGCTCAGCCTGGGAGTGAACACTGGAAATATTTTGAATTTCATGCATTACTGCAGAGCTACAGTATGCTCAAAATTTATGGTAAGCTTTTTTCCGCCATCTAATCCCTGCTAAACCCTACCCTTGTCCAAGTCTCATAATGGTCATCAATGAACACAAATAATATTCTTTTGAGAACTCCCTCTGGACTTCAAATATTAGAGAGTTGGTTAAATAAGAACTATTTCTAAAATTACATTTGTCTTAATTGTATGTATTTGCTGTTGGGATCTGGGTGTCATCCTGGGAGCTCTGCTCTGTTTTAACATTCTTGCTCTCAAACAGTGGGAAATCAGGGAAATCATAATAGTACTTAGCATCTTTTCAAAGTGGGATTTTTGGACTGCTTGAAATTGGTACCAAAAACCATCTGTTTCTGTATTTGTATTTTTTTTGTTTGCACACATTGTTTTTGTAATAGTATGCCTATGTGCATTTATAGAACACCAGAATAGCATGTAGGATTGCAGAGCTTGAAAGGAGACCATTTTTCCCATCTGTCTATGTAAACTCTTTTGAGGAGTGGGGGTTGGGCGGGGGGGTTAAGAATCTAACTAGTATCTTAGTGCATGCCCTTTCCATGTAGCCCTACAAATGTTTGTTTCATTATTTCAATTTCTTAAATTTCATGGTTAATTCAAAGGATGGGGATGAAACTCTGGAATGTTGAGCCAAATCAGTATAATATGGCTATGTAGAAGAGACAACTATGACGATATTGAAATGAAAAATGTTTTTTAGAAGTAACTGGGTAATGTGCTGTCTGTATTTGAGGTATATCAGTATTGCTGAAGAAAGACACAATTTGTTGTAGCACTTTGTCTTGCACTCATCAGAATTTTTGAAAATTAGCAAATTAAGGAAATGAAAAAGTTTACACTGAAAGAAGAGTTGTTGTAGTAGTAGTAGTAGTACTTGGCAAATGGATTCTGATTAGTGGAAGTATGGGAGATGCACTGGTTAATGATGACTAGTATTTAACTGCCAAGGTTTCTTTAAGCTTTAAGTCAGGCTGGTTGACTCTGATTTCTCAGGGTAGTGACAACAGCCATGAACCAGAGAATGGCAATGACCTACTTTGTTGAGTTGAAACAGGCACAGTGTGTATACATGCTCTTTCTGTCTACAAGTTCCTGGACTTGCACAAGAGCAATGTGCTGGTGGAGGTATACAGGATCAGGTTTATCTTCATGTCTCACTCAAAGTGTACATGAGCTTCCCAAAATACAAAAACATAGTGTCCATTTGCACCCTGTCTTATCTCCATTATTAATTCTGCACATTGTGATTTGGCCAAATAGTTTGGCGAATTGATGCACCCAGTTTTCAGCAAGTTTTCCACTTATGCAGTGAATAATTCCTCCTGGTTTGCAAAGATGATACAGCACTTGAGTATCAATAACAATGCAATGGTCATGTGTACATTTGACATTGCTAGCCCATTCACTGATGTACCACTTTAGGAAGCCACTGCATCACTGAATCACGGTGATGTAGACCCATATTCCTCCAACTTATGAACTCAGCAACTTACATAATTGAGTTCAGTTTTAATGACATCATGCATGCCCAAATAGATAATGTAACCAAGGGATTCCCACTCGGCCCAGCTCTTGCGAGTGTCTTTGTTGGGTTCCATGAGAAATGTCTTCAATGGAATATCACCAAACATAGAACAGTATAGCGCAGGAACAGGCCCTTTGGCCTACCATGTCTGTTGACCATGATGCTATTGAAAACTAATCCCATTTGCCTGCATGTGCTCTGTATCCATCATTTCTCTGCCTTTTTGGAGTCTACCCTCCTAACATCAAACCTTGCAATTTTTCTGATATGGAGATATGTTTGCTGCTTTGAATTTGCAGCTGCATGTCAGCATTTCTTATATCTAAATGACTTTCATCCTGTGCACAAATTCACCTTTGAAATGGAGCAAAGGAAAACCCTTCCCTCGATGCCCTTTCTAAGAAATTAGCCAGCATGAATTTTATGCTAGTGTCTACCTCAAACCTATCTTCATTGTTCAGTAAACATTGGAATATCTACAACTCGACTCATTATCACCTTATCGGTGTCCTTGTGTATAAGGCCTGAGCCATTTGTTGACCTTTCAAGCTTGATGCTGAAATCGGGCACATTGAACTCATATTGCATGATAACAACTACTTAACCAGATTATTTTTCGCTGTATATCTCTCACACACAAGAACAAGCCGAAAGCTGTCTGTTTCGGTCCTGAAGTTCGTAGATTTTTCCAATGTGTCTGCTAAGATTTGAATAACAGGTGAAACGTTTGAAACAAAAACTCATCAGTTTTTCACAACACAGAAGATACTGAATAAAAACCGAAAGAACTGCGGATGCTGTAAATCAGGAACAAAAACAAAGTTGCTGGAAAAGCTCAGCAGGTCTGGCAGCATCCGTGAAGGAAAAAACAGTTAACGTTTCTGGTCCGGTGACCCTTCCTCCGAACAGAAGATACTGACTGACTGTACCTAACTGAGCTGTGCTTAAAACTCTCAACACAGCATCCAATATTTGAAGTGATTCTGCAATTGGAATATAATTGCTGAATTATGCTGTCATGCAGTTCGTTGTTGGCCTTGCAGTGTGGCACACTCATGCATGCTGCTAACTAGATATATTAATATGTAGAGTCCTGTTCTTTGCAGACAGGAAGCACACATACACACACTGCCTGTTTCAAGTCTACAAAGAAGATGCCATTTGCTGATTTGTATCTCATGGCATTACATTGACCAGTCAATGTACCTGGTTTAAAATTTGAATAAAGCTTAGCAGTTAACTGTAAGTCATGAGTAACTTGTGCATTATCCATGGCAACAACTTGATAAAATGTACCTTTCAGCAATACTCCAGTTTTACTGTACCAAATGATAATATATGGGTTGAGTCGCGAAATGAATTTGTTTGATCTTGTAAACTGAAGGGTTAGTTAGAAAGACTAGTGGTTTACTTCTAGTTGAAAACAATGAGTTTTAGATGTATTGTTGCAATGCTTTTGAAAAGTTTTTAAAATCTGATGTTTAAAATTGAATCCGGTTGAAGAAAAAGCAAATCATTATGAAGATGCTTAATCATGATTTTGTTTTTAAGGGTTCATATTAAATGATTGTGGACAGTTGTGCATTTGCATTTGTGAATTTGGATTTTTTTAAACAGTCATGAAAAGGATAGTGGGCGTTTTTAAAGAAAAAAAATACAGTTCTGAAAAATTAATGGCTTTAGCTAATTGCTTGGATCCATTTATGACAATATATGTCTGGAAATGATTATTGTATGGAGATTGTTTAGATTTCAATTGGGTCCTAGTCTGCTGATAGAAATAAGCTCCCCAGCTCAGCCTCTGCCTTTCCAGTAATCTTTGAGTTCAGTGTGAGAACTGAAATTCTGATCCATCTGTTAATCCTGAAAGGCTTCCATAAGGAATGTTCTTGACAGTTCCTGACTAATCTATGTCTGCAAAGGATCCAGAGACATCTATTTGTGTTCTGTGATGTTGCTGCATGTCACAACACCATAATCATTATGAACAGTCATGGTTTAGCCTTTTATCCTTGAGCACCAACAATTATTGGCCACAGTATTTTTTTCTGAAGTAAATCTCTGCAGAGACATTTATTTTTCTCTTTGGTGTGTGTATTGGCTTGCTTAGAGAGAATATTTGGAAATATTTATAGTTTCACATTGCAAAATGCATTTGCTAACCAACTTTGATTTATTATAAACCAAGAAAAGGAAAAGCAATCTTGTTTTAATTTTAGAAAAAGATCCGATTGATGAGTCTTTTTTATTCTGAATCTAATATAGAGAAAATATGCAATTGACCACATTGGTAACTTGGTAAATCATTTCAATGTAAGTTGTGACCAGTCAGTCAATGGGACTGGAGAGGGACAAACTCCTCTGACCTCTGTTGTAACAAAATCGTCATTGATATCCAGTATTTTGATTATCTTGTGGTTGATGTCTACACAATACAGATATGCAATTTTAAATTATCAAATGAAACTAAGAATATTTTAAAATATGAACCAAGTTAATACACATCTAAATAACGTAAGCATTTCAAAGTGCAAGAATTATCAGTTATTTTTTGATGCAGTTAATTAAAGTAATCGACCAAAATATATTCCTTCAAGGAGGCTGGAATACGAGAATGGTTGAAGTTGTCCCCCAGTTGTAAGGCATCTTAATTGGACCTCATTTGGAGTACTGCTTTCAGTTTAGGTACTGCACTTGAGAAAGAATATATAGACTTCAGAGTGGTTGCAGCATAGATTCACCAGAATTACACTGGACCTAAAGTCACTAAATTATGAGATTGGTTGCATGTAGTTTGCTTGCATTGCTTCAGTATAGAAGATTGAGAGATGCCCTAAATGAGACGTTTAAAATGTTAAAATGTATTTTGATTAGGAATAAGAACACAAATATTTTCTCTGCTGGGTAATCAAGAACAAAGCACATGACCTTAAAAATTAGAGCTAAGCCAATCTGGAAGCAGGTTTATGGTACATGGGGTTCTTAAAATTATCAAGTCCTTGATCGGTATTGATTGATATGGAGCAAAAGCGAGAAAATGGAGTTGATGTGCAGATCAAACATGAATGACAGAACAGATCAGAACAGGCTAGATGGTATACTCCTTCATTATCCTTCATTAATAACTGAGGAGCTCTCGCAAACAGGTACAGTATAATAAGAGAATGTTTCTAGTTTGATTCCCATTCTATCTTGAGTTCACTAATCTGCAGTGAGGTGGTATAGTAAAATTAACATCACACTAAAAAGTGAATGTGTGACTACTGAGTGAAGATAGGATTGTTTAATCAAATTGCCATATTTGTTGCCTTATTTTATGTTGTGTGAATTTGGCAAGATACTGGCGTCTGTGAGTTTGGTTATCTAGTGTGCATTATCTTCAGTGGAGAAATTGAGAATAAAGTTTTGATCCTGTATACTAACTTGGTCGAGATCCTGTCTGCAAATCAGTCCTGTGCTCATGACCAACATTTTAGCTACTGGTCCAAATAAAGCTTTCCTTTTGTTTAATAATATCACCTGTTCCGATCCTTCCATTGTTTTAGCCCCGTCTTGGGAAAAATAAAATCAAGACTGTAATGCTGAAGGAGAGCTGCACTTCTTTTGAATGACACATTAAACCAAGGTCCAAATTTACAGCACATGCAATATTTCTAAGATGAATAGAGAAGTTAATCCTGAAATCTTGGCAAATATTTATCCATCAATCAATGTCACAACAGCAAATTACTGGATCATTATTACATTGCTGCTTACAGGAGTTAGTTCTGTGTGTATTGACTGCCACATTTTCTATGTTACAACAGTGACTATGCTTTAAAATAGTTAATTTGATTGTAAAATGCATTGAGCTGTCTGGTCATGAAAGTATAAATACAGCCTTTTTTATTTTCTGTCAACTCTGTAACCCCTCCATCCCTGTTGTTCTGTTCGTCCAACTTTGACTTGTTTTCGTTTTCCCAACCTATGCTGCTCCAACATTGGCAGCTATGTATTTAATGTGTAGTCACTAAGCTCTAATTCTCTCCATAAGCCTCTTCATCCCTCCATTTTCCTTTCAAGATGCTACTTTAAAGCCTTCCTTCATGACCAATCATTTAGTCACCTGTCCTAAATCTCTCCCTCTTTGGCTCAGTATCTTATTACATGCCTGTGAGAAGTGCCTTTGGGTGATCTTAATATTTTAACATAATTGCAAGTGGTTTTATTTTATACCCTTAACTAATGCAGTTGTTCAAACTCTATTTGTATTGCAGGGAAATGTGGTGATGTTGGTGCATAACACAGAGAATTTGGAAGATGAAGAAAATAATTTTGTTGTCAAATCCCTGAGTCACCAGTGCCACCTAATATTGCAGGTAGAAGGATTGACTACTGGCTACTGCAAGGATATCCACGGTCAGGTATGACTAATTGCTACTAAAATATTGGTTTCAGTAATGATCAAATAATTATTAGAGGGGCAGCTCCAAGTTAAACATAACTTTAGCAAGAAAGGAACGTAAGCTCCTAATTATTTTGTGATTAAACTGAGCCACTTCATTGCATGAGTCTGCATGCAATCTGATTCCTTCTGAGGAGTCACCTGTGAAATGCATACTGTGGTCCATACAGCAGGCTCTGGTTCTCTGATCTGTTCAGATCTTGATGTGGAGGTGCCAGTGGTGGACAAGATCAAAAATCACACGACACCAGGTTATAGTCCAACAGATTTATTTGAAGACGCAGGCTTTTGGAGTCTTGCTTGTGATTTCTAACCGTGTTCAGATCTTGGCCATTGCTAAGATGAGGACAGCAACTAGGGAGCTGTATTTTCCTCTGATGTGTAAATGTTTTTTTAAAAAAGGTTGTTCTTTTCACAATCCAATGTATGCTGGTGGCATATAGTGAACAATGAAGATCAATGACCAACAAATTCAATTACAGGTCCAATTTGTGTAGAAAGAATGGCAATTTGGAGAGGGGTTCTGATGCCTGTTGATATCCATAATTGTCAGCTAGACCTTAAAGTGCAGCTGAGACCAAAGCTGCAATTTCCATGATTGACAGGCTGATCCCTATTTAAAATATTTGGAAGTGAGCTCAGTAGAGTGTGTATCTGGAAATGCAAGGGGCTGTCTCCAGTTATATAGAAAAGAATGAAATTGAGGGTAACTTTTAACCTACAGTTCAATCCAGTTAATATATTAAATATCTAGAAAATCCATTAAGATGTTTTGAGCAGTTTGGAAACTAAGTATGTCACACTGGCTTTATAATGTGTATACTATCAAACCCAGTGTCAATACTTTGCACTAAAGCTTCTATTCAGTCTAAATGGACCCTTGAATACTGTTTCTTTACCTCATAATTGCATTTAAGTTTATGAATTAGGAAGGTATGTTATGGGCTAGGCAGTAGATAGATGCAGTGGCAGGCAGAGATTTCAGAATACTCGAAGGGTACATTCCAGAGAGAAGGGAAGGAATCATCACTTGTGATCAACTAAGGAAGTTAAACGTAAGTATCAATTGAAAGAAAGTGTACAATTCCACAAAGATGAGTGGAGTGAGAAGATTGGACAGAATATCAACAGCAGCAAAGAACAAAGAGGGATAAATAAAAGAAAGCTGGCCAGCAATATAAAAACAGAGTTTATACAGGTATTTAAAAAGCATGAGGTGAAGCAAAGTTGGTCTTCTCAAGGGAGTCTGGAGAACTAATCATGGAAAAGAAAAAATTGACATGATTTGAACAGACATTTTGCATCTGCCGTTGCTATAGAAGAAAGAAATAGCATCCCAGAAATAATTGTGAATCAAGAAGTTAAAACAATTAAATTCATCTGAGAAACAGTACTGAAAAAATTACTGGACCTAAGAACAGATAAGCCCCCAGGTTTTAAACGATCTCATTCTAGAATCCTAGAAGAAACAGCTGATGAAGTTGTAGGTGCATTTGTTTTAATTTTCTAAAATTTCTTGGGTTGTGGAAACATCCCATTAGATTTAAAAAAGCAAGTGTTCCCCTTCTATTCAGAATATGGGGGAAGATAAAGCAGGAAACCATGGGCCAGATAGCTTAGCGTTTATCATGCAAAAATTGATGGGATCTTGTTTTAAGACGAATATAATGGGACGCTTAGAAAATCTCAGTGCAGTCAGTCAGAGTCAACATGGTCTTGTGAAAGGGAAAATCAAGGTTGACTAATTTATTAGAGATCTTTTTGAGAAAGTAACAAGCAATGTGGATCAAGAGGAACCTGTGGATACACTGTACTTGCTTTTCCAAGGTAATAGTCAACAAAAAGCCCACAGTGTACATTCTCCACCCAGAGGAGCATTGATCAATCAACTAATGGATGTGAGAGGTGGGTGGTAAGAGGAGGAGGAGAGGAACATATTAATTAGGAGATTTCTATGCCTATGGTTTCGTAGGACATTACAGCGTCAAGTTTGGCACTTATCCCCAGATGTTAGAATGATTTTGCATGGACAGTGGGACTGTTTCCTGTTGTCACTTTTGGTGCCTTAGTTGATGCTAGTTGTTTGATTTCATTCCCTTTTTTGATATTTTTGAACAGATAATTGGCTTGTTTGGCAATTTCAAAGAGTAGTTGAGTCAACCACAGTGCTGTGAGTCTGCAGTCACAATAGTCCAGACCAAGTGAGGAGAACAGTTCTCCTTCACTAGCAAACATTTTTGAACCAAATGGGGTTTTTTAAAAGAAGAAATGACAATGGTTTAATGACTTTGAGATTTTTTTTAAATTGAATTCAATTTCTGCTGTGGTAGGAATTGAACCTTGGTTCCCAGAATATTAGCTGACTCTCTTGATTGCTTATCAAGTGACAATATCACTAGGATGAGGCTTCCCCCATTGTTATTAAATGACAGCAGTTTTGAGAAGCTAAATGGTCTATTTTACTTAATTCGTATGCACCAGCAATTTTGCACATTAGAATATTTTGAAAATAAGCATTGCATCTTGATTTCTTACTGCCAAATACGAAGTCCCTTTTTGTGAATCTCATTTGCAGCTTATGATGACCTGCCGTTCCCCTTCACCTGTAAAGTCTGAAAGGAATATAACCAAAATCTTCCAGTACAAAATACAAGACAAAAACGTGAACTTTTTTGCCAGAGGAACCTCATCAACTGTGCTCTAAGGAATTCCATTGGAACTGTTTCATTGAGAAGTGGACATGACTCTTACCCAGTTAACTTTTTGAAATGCACATGGATTTATCATGCAGAACAATTTCAAGATCCCTGGCCTTCAAACATGTATTTGATTTTAAAATGTTTTCCTAAGCGTATGGCAATTGTATGTGTCACATTTGTAAGATACAATTTCTACATCAGATCACACTATGTACTACCCACCATAAAGTCTATATTTCTGTTTTTTTGTATCCTCTGACTTCAGTATTTTCATTTATGGGCTCAGTGTTCAGCAGTTCAAACTGATCAAAAGAAACTCTTTTTCCCTTTCCTCTCTCACTTTCAATCTTCCCTTCTGTCCAAACAGTAATTTTGTTTAATGTTCTTGATTTACTGGTATTTTGTATTTGGGGAATGAAGTTACTGTAACAATTGAAGTTCCAATGGACCTGATCCATGTAGGTACCAAAGATGGCATCAGAGATGTACAGCATGGAAACGGATCCTCAAGTCCAACCCATCCATGCCAACCGGATATCCTTAATAAAGCTAGTCCCATTTGCCAGCATTTGGTCCATTTCCCTCTTAAACCCTTCCTCTTCATGTATCTGTCCAGACGCCTTTTAAATATTGTAATTGTACCAGCTTCTTCCGCTTACTGTGGCAGCTCGTTCCATACACACACCACTCTTTGCAAGAAAATGTTGCCTTTTAAATCTTTACCCTCTTACCTTAAAACTATGCTGTCAAGTTCTGGATTCCCCTACCTTAGCGAAAAGACCTTGGCTGTTCATCCTAGCCATGCCCCTCATGATTTCATAAACTTATATAATGTCACCCCTCAGTTTCCAATGCTGTAGGGAAAATAGCCCCAGCCTATTCAGCCTCTCCCTATAGCACAAACTCTCCAACTCTGGCAACATCCTTGTAAATCTTTTCTGAACTCTTAAGTTTCATAGAATTAGGAAAGAGGTTCTGCAAAGAGAATGAGGAGCTCAGTACTAAATCATAAAACAGAATCTCAAAGTTTACAGATTATTACCTGAGATGCATGCAAAATGACGTATGCATAAAATTAGAGTGATGAATGCTTTGCTCATAAACTAGGGTGGGAGAAGTGCGTTTTGATTTTTGGGCTACTTGGACCAATACTGGTGAAAGTGGAGTTGTACCTTTGAGACAGTTCTTGCGAAGTACATAACTAGGTACATAGTGAAGGTTTTACATTAGATAGTGGGATAAAGGCTCAGATAATATGGTCTATTGAAGAGAGGTGAGAGAGGAAAATAGTGCTAAGGTTATAGAATGGTTATAGAATGGCAGGAGGAGACAGAGAATGTTATAAAGATAGAAAGACAAATCTAAACAACTCTCATTATACAGCACAAGTTGAAATAAATAAATACAATCTGATAGTCAGTATGGAGGGACAGCTTCAGGGTGGCAAGGATTGGGTCCTGAGTTTTGAGGTATACTAGATTCAAGGGCAATAGGTGAAAGTGTAGCACTGTTAGTCAATGTTGACATTTGCTTGATAGTTAGCGATGACCATCAGGAGATCAGGATGTAGAATTGGTTTGGGTGATGATGATAAATAGTAAGAGTAAGTCATCATTAGTGGGAACCGTCTACAGACCCCTGAATAGTAACCGCACTGTGGAACAAAGTATACAAGAAGAAATATTGGTTGCTTTCAATACGGGAATGACAATAATTATGGGTGACTTTGTAGAAACTGGAAAAATCAGATTGGAAGTAGAAGACTGGATGAGTTCATAGAATTCTTTTGTAAGAGTTTCTTTGAGCAGCATGTTCTGGAACTAACCAGAGAGCAGATCATATTAGATTTGGTATTGTGTAGTGTTACAAAATTGATAATGACCTCAGAACTAAGGCACTGCCAGATAGTAATGACTACGTGGTTGAATTTTACAACATTTGAAGAGGGGACTTTCAACCTGAATAAGTGCACCTATGTTGGAATGGAAACTGAGCCAGCTGAAGTGAACTGGCCCATAAAACTAAGGGATAGATTGAGAGATGGGAACATTTCAGAATAAGTATATTCCTACTATAAAATTTCCAAAGAGGAGACCCAGCCTCCATGGTTAAAGAGTTAGGGAAAGCATCAACCTTGAAAAAGCATATAACTGTATGAATGTGCCAGGTCAGATGATTGATATGAATATAACATGCAGCAAATGGTAAAAATTTAATCAGAAGGAAGAAATTAGAGTATGAGATAAAGCTAGTTAGGTTTGTCCAAACAAATTGGAAAAGTTTGTACAGGTATTTAAAAAGAAAGAGCATTACTAAAATGAGCAGTTGACCTCTGGAGAGTGAGAATTTAAAGTAGATGACAAAGAAATGGCAGGTTGTATTAAATATTTTGCTTCTGTTTTCACTATAGACTGTACAAAAGCATTCCAGTAATGATTTAAAATCAGGAGGTGGAAGGAAGAGTGCAATGTGGTGAAATTACAATCATGTGGGAAGTGGTACTAAGCAAACAGGTGGAGCTTGAGGGGTAGTAAATGCATTGGTATTCATTTTCCAAAGTTTTGTAGATTCAGGAAAGTCTCCATTAGACTGGAATATAAATATAACCCTTCTATTTAAGAAGGGAGGCAGGCAGAAAACAATAAGCTTGATGTCTATCATGGGGAAGGTGTTTCATTAATTATGAAACACTTCGAAAAACTGGAGGTAATTGGGAAGAGTCAGCATGGTTTTGAAAAGGGAAATCTTGTTTAATCAACTGATTGAAAGTCTTTGAAGTAATTGCATGCACAATAGGTAAAAGGGAGCCCGCAGTAGACCTATTATACTTGGATTTCCAGAAGACATTTGATAGGATGCCACACCAAAGGTAATTGTAACAATAAAAGCTCTTTGTGAGGGTAATGTATTGGTGTGGATAGAAGATTGGCTGGCAGAAAGTGTGCATAAATGTCTATCTAAATATGTCTTTATCAAATTGTCATGATGTGATGAGTAGACAGGGCTCTGTGGCATCTCAATTTTTTTACAATTCATATCAATGACTTGGTTGAACAGAGCAAAGGTATTTTAACCAAATTTGCAAATGACATAAAGATGGGTAGGGAAAGTATGTGGTGAAGAAGACACAGGACAGATATAAACAGATTAAAGTTAGTGGGTAAATTCTGGCAGTTGTAGAACTTGTGGGAAATTGTGGGAAATTGTGGAGTTGTTCACTCCTACAGGAAAAATAAAAATGATTATTATTTAAATGAGAATGACTAAATAATTTGGAGGTGCAGAGGGATTAGGTGTGCATGAGTTTCAAAAAGTTAGTATGCAGGTACAGCATATTACCAAGAGGGCACATGGTATGCTATCCTTTCCTACAACAGGAATTGACTGTAAAAGCAAGGATGTTGTGCTTCAGTTACAGTGCTGATGAGACCACATCTCAAATATTGTGTGCAGTTTTGGTCTCTTTGTTTGATGTAAATGCATTTGAAATGGTTCAGAGGATGCTTACCAAATTGATACCTGGATTGAGCAGCTTGTCTTATGAATATACATTGGGAGGCTGGACTTGTTTCCACTGGAGTTTAGAAGAGTGATAGTAGTTTTATTAAAGTGTAAATACAAAGTTTCTATCTTTATGATCCTGAATGGTCTTGGCAAGATGAACATGGAAAGCATGTTTTCCCTCGTGAAACAATGCAGAATTATGGGACAATGTTTTAAGATTTGAGGTTACCCAATCAGGACAGAAAGGAGAATTTTTGAGGGTAATGGGTCTTTGGAACTCTGTCTTGAATGTTACGGAGGCAGGGTGCATTGGATAATGGATAAATATTATGCAACAACATTTTCCAAACTCCGGGTATCTGCCACTTAGGACAAGGGAGAAAAGATGCATGGGCAATCCATTGCCCACAGGTTTCCCTTCAAGTCACGCAATGAGTGTTATGTGAGAGCAGATGAAATATAGCACAAGAAGATGGCAAATCACCTCTTTGAGCTCAATTAGAAATGTGGAAAAAAGTGCTAGCTTTGTCAATGACAATTGTATCCCATGACCAAAGTCAAGCAGAGAAGCCTTGATTTCACAATGTTCTCTACTTTAAAGTCCATCGCATTCTTGAGGATAAATTGCATTGTGGATGAGTTGATGCATAATGAGTTGAACATAGATGACGAGTTGAACTCTGGCTATTTCAGTTCTCCATGGTGCTAGAATCTTCAGTCCATCCCAATACATCAGTTCACACAGACTGAGTTGAAACTGAATCTTTTGTCTTGCAGTTGCTAGAAATCTTAACTGATTGAGGTGGCTCAATGGCTGGCAGTGCTGCCTCAGCACCAGGGACCTGGGTTCAATTCCAGCCTTGGGTGACTGTCTGTGTGGAGTTTGCATGTTCTCCCTATGTCTGCGTAGGTTTTGTCTAGGTGCTCCATTTTCCTCCACGGTCCAAAGATGTGTAGGTTAGATGGATTAGCCATAAGAAGTACAGGGATGAGGTGGGTCTGGTTGGGATGCTCTTTGTGGGTCAGTGTGGATTTGACAGGCTGAATGGCCTGCTTCTGCACTGTAGGGTGTCTATGAACTATGTTAAGTGTCCAGTGATGTGCAGGCTGGGTGGATTAGTTATGGGCAATGCAGGGATACAGGTGTGGGTCTAGGTGGGATTTTCTTGGGAGGGTCGGCGTGGACTCGATGGCCTAGATGGCCTGCTTCCAACTTGTAGGGATTCTATGACTGAGACGAAGGCATGAGGAAGAGTTAGAGCTGGGCAAACAAAGACAACTATGGAAGCAAATGCTATGTAAATTGTATGGTTAAAGAGCACTCCAATGAAGAAGGCATTTTTGGGAACTGAATGTAATTTTGAGAGAATAAGAACCCAGTGGTGAAAATAAACTGGCTTTCACAGAGTTAAGAGTAGACCAAGACTGTCCAATTTAGACATTTTTCTTTTATCATTCCAACACTGGCAATAACGAATTCAGCTCTTTGGATTTCCCTTCAGCAACTTTGCTGATAGTCTTTTCTTGAAAGCCCATTCGATTTGATAATAATTTTGGTCATCAATCTAAATCTGTGATGGATATCTCAAGCTAATTCAAAGACAATAGTTTTGAAGCGCACCCACCCTTGTAAGAAATGTGGCGGCTAATTTTTGTACACCAAGCTCCCACAAACATCAGTGTATACGTGAACGGAACATCTGTTTTATGTGTTGGCTGGGAAAGAAACATTGCTGAGGAGCGTTGG